AGAGAGAGAGAGAGAGAGAGAGAGAGAGAGAGAGAGAGAGAGAGAGAAATTGATTTTGTGTGTGTGCGATAACTTCGTGTTACATTTAACATCTGTGGGCAGTTGCCAGTTAGCTCCAATCTCAGTTGGCTGTTGCTGTTCTTCCCCAGCTCATCTCAAAATTTTCTGTTTTGCAAATACTAGTACTCTTGTCTTCACTACTTCTTTTTACTATGTTGTCCTGGTCTAGAATATTTTCATTCTTTAGCTTCCTTCAGAATCCACTATTATCATCAAGACTCACCATGAAAAATCAACTAATTTTTGCTTAGTGTTAAAGCTAGTAATTAGGCCCAATCAATAAACAAATTCTGTTTTCTACCTAAGGCACACCGTTTCCACTTTTTCTAAGCTTGTTCCTTCAGGTCTTCACTTTTTTCTTCTTCTCTAAATAATCAGTAACAACAAGAACAAATCAACTTAACCTGTTAACTGTTACCATCACTTGAATACAACCAATACAGCTATTTGTTGGGAAGGAAGAACTCTACAGGCTCTTTACTGATCAAGACTCTTCACCTAACCGACAATACATTTATTTATTCACATATCTAAGTTTGACTTTCTGCCTAAACTTTTGCTAGTTTTTCTTTGTGTGACACTTGGGGATTACACATCCCAGGAAAACGAAGGTGGAAAAAGAGAATGCAGCTAGAGATTACATTCAAATTTTGGTTATTATCTTACTGTATATTCCTCTCTCCAAAATACATGGAGACAGAATATGGTCTTTGTAACACAAACTAGATGGTATCACTATTAAATATTTTATCCCGACAGAATTTTAAAGCAATTTAATCTTAAATGGCTACATAAAAAACTGTACAAAATACTTTGACAACACAATGCCTAGAAAAATTCAGTTTTCAAATAGGCAAAGCATACATTCGACTGGAAAAAAATAATTTTTAAGGAACATATCACTGTGCCTAGTACTATTACTAATTTTTTAATAGCCTAGCAGCAAGTTTTTATATCACCACATTATTTCTATTGATTTTTTTGGGCTAAAGAATTGTTTCATTTAATCATAAGTTTAAAAAGAAAAATTATATAAACCTAAATCCCCAATAGCACTAATTCCACAAAAACACACATGTGCTAAATATACTTTAAAAGAATGGTCACTTTTTAAACAGATTTCTAGAAAAATCATACTACAAAGAAAAGAGAGAGGGAGGGAGAGAAAGAGAGACACAATCATTTAGATCTATAGCAAACAATTCTAACAGAATGTCCCTTGCACGTTTTTGGCACATTTCTAAAGAGAAATAACAAAACTTGAAGTGTCTAGGGACAATAATGCTATGTTCAGAGTATTTCCTCAAAAATAAAGGGGAAATGAAGAAATTACATAATTTTTCATACAAATTAAAGAACAGTTTACCTAGAAGTTAGTAGTAAAATATACATATACAATATATATATATACTCCTATACATATACATTTAGAAATTTACAGGCTCTTTTTAAGAGAAAATTAGAAAGAATTGATGAATTAACCAGAGACAGGCGGGTAAGATATTCGAAGATGGAAAAGAAAAGAGAAAACAGATCAAACAGGAAATGTCCTGACCAAAGTCCAGTGGCCAAAAAAAAACAAAACAAAAAAAACAAAGAAAAACAAACTTCTGGTCTCTTTAGGGAACGCTAATGTAAGTGTGATCAGCACAAAAAAAAAAAAAACATGGAGAAGAACTGGGCTACAAGGATCATTTGAGGTTGAATTAGAAGAAGCAGGAAATGTGAGGCTTAGTTAGAAAGAGAACACTGCAGGTGCATGTGCTGACATTTGCTAATGAATCATCTCCCTCCTCTTCCTAGCCCTCTTTAGAAATCTTCAATCACCATTACAATAAGTAGGGCACATTTTCCCCTCCTGTACTGCAAAATTTAAATATTTAGCCCCTAATTCCCCTGAAGTTTACTAATCAAAAGCCTTACAAATTCTCTCTGGTCATCTTTGTGACACTAGTAAACTATATATTGTCAGAACTGCCTTAGTTAAATGTTCTAGTTTTGTTTCCCCCAAAAGAGACTATTTAATAAACTCACTGTATGTTAACATCAACTATTTATTGATGATAAAATTTCAAACTAAAAGCATGTTTGTATAATAGCTCAAAAATAACCAATAAATAGAGGTTTTGATCAGATTCAATGCCAAACAAGCCTTGGGATCAATGGTATCAAAACTGCATTAGGTTTATTTTTCTCTAATTTCTTTCATCTTATCAGAATGCTTTAAAATCGTCACTAAAACCACCCATCTTTTTCCTTACTGCATTCAGTGAAATGACCATACAGGAGAGCAGAAATTCCTTCTCCCTTAAGAGAATACCGTACTGACTGCTGTAGAAATGAATCCTAAAAAGCTGTACGAGTAATGTGTTAACATCTGTCCTTTAAAGCTCATCTCCACCTTATCTAATAGTCCCTTTTGATAACCTATCATAGTTGTCAATTACATTTGGAAACCTAAATTTCAAAATCTATGCACGTAGCACGAAACTATGTATCTCTTACATTTGCCACAGTGAGTCCACACTGATATTGATCAATGGAAAGTATACTAACAGAAAATGCCAGAGATAGGTGATAAAGATATACACATCTTAGATATGCATTTAAGGATATGGCTAAAACCTGTACTGAAAGGAAAAGTTTCTATTTCTTCAATTATACTTTTAAGAGTTAATTTTCCTCATCTTTTGCTGTTCATCTAAATTTCGCTTTTCTTTTTATACTCTCACTTGAGGATATAGGTTTCCTGTGAAGGCATCTTTATTTCAAAGTAACCCTAGCAATTGACCGCTTTCATGTACAAATAAAAGAACTCCTTTAAGAAACCATTGCACATAATCATGTATTTCCATGTCTTTATTTTCCAATCTGGACATCTCACCTTAAGCTCCTAGATTTCTGAGTATTAATAATAATAGAGCTGAAAAATCAGAATTCAAATGAGGATCTTACAATTGCTCTAATGTATTAGTAACAACTATGGGCTCCTCTGCCTAAGAAGAGGCTGTTAGTAAAACTAGAGAAGTTAATGAATGTAATTAAATGAAATAGAACCACCAAAAAAAATGAATAGCATAATCTGTCAAGAAACAGGTTAACAGTAAAAACATAGTTAATAAAGTAATAATACATTAGTAAGTATTGTTAGGAATATTTCCTAATGTTAGCTCCCTGACGACACAAAAATTCCCAATCAAGCCAAATTAAGAAATATCCAGGTTTAATGGGAGATCTGCGCTCTCGGGTGGCCCGGAGGGGGAAACCGGGAAGCCACAGAAACGCGACCCCCGGGAGGAAGAAAGGGAGACCACGTGTTCTTCTTTTGGGGCATCACTTAAGTACCCTGGGGAGTGATCCTGACCACACATTGTAAGATATTCTGTCTCATCAAATGACAAGAGGCATCATTACCAAGTACAAACCTTATTTAAAGTCTACCTGTATAAAAATTACAATATTCTGAGACATCTCTTTGTACAGACAACTAAAGGAAAGAAAAAACTTTTCTAACAACACTTCTCAACAAATTTCAAAGAATTTGGTGTTCAACCAGAAGTTCCTAATAGCAGTCTATATTTATCATAAAATATGTAACAGAGCATAAAGCAATTTCGATCTAAATAAATTACTATCAAATCAATCTGTACTCTGAAACTCTCATCAAGCACTATTGTGTGCTTTTCTAAGTTTGCAACTGTTCAAGCAATACCAAAAGAAGCTAAAGTAGAAACATGAGATGTAAACTTGGGGGGAGAGAAAGGTGTTGACCAGCAAGCAAGTAAACACATCACCAGGGAGAATTTATGGACAAAGGTTTAAGGTGTATTATTCAGGAAGTAGCCAAAGCACTGAAATTTAAACTGCTTCCTTGCTTTTTTCTTACATTATTTCCAATGAGCCATAAAGATTTACCAATGTGCCCAAGAGAACCACTACAAGACAGCCTGCATTACAAAGTGAGAAGAAGAAGAAGAAGAAAAGAAGGAGGAGGAGGTGGAAGAGAGAAAAGAAAGGCTAGATGCAGAGGTACATGCCTGCCTCTCAACTGAGGCAAAGGCAAAGGGACAGAGGGGCAGAAGGGCAGAGGCAAAAAGAGCTCACTGTGAGTTCCAGGCCAGCCAGGACTGAACAGTTAGTCATACCTAGTAATCTTAAAACTTACAGACACAGAATAATAGGGAAAAAGAAAAATCTATGCTTGAAGAATCTGTATATAAACCTTGCTTCTGCCACCAACTAAACAATTATGTAATACCAAGTAATAAATGTCATCCACATCTAAAGTTTCCTTTTTAAGAAAAATGGTTTTCCTCCATTGTCAATTCATGTAAAACTTCAATAATATAAGTATACACATGGAGTTGTAATCTTTGGCCAAAGAAAGCAATCTCCTTCCTAAGGATTTCAACCATACCCACTTAGCTTAAAAAACTAGCACACAGAAGAGACTAGAACAAAAATCAGATACACTTTAAATTAAAAATATCCACACAGGGCTTTATAGTTTAGAAAACATGCAATTCTTGGGTGACCTTCAAAATTTTCTAAAAGGCAAATGATTATATAGTAGTTTGATTGTTTCAGAAGTTAGAGTATGAATCTCTCTACTCAAATTCTATATTCTTTCCAGTAGAGCACACTTCTGTCTTGTCTGATAAAAAAGCAGTGATAGAAAGAGGGTCATAGTAGCAGGATCCTACATTTGACAGTCTATTCAAACTTAGGTGCTACTACCATAACTTTATTATTTTATAAGAGAGACAGAACAAAGTTTTAATCTGGTACTCAGTTACTAAAAGTTGCAGTATGCTAATCAGTGTGGGGCAGTGTATGACTAACTTTCCAAAGAAGTCAAAGAAAATCAAAAAATAAAATAAAAATACTAGCCATCATGGATATTTCTCCCAAGATCTTGAGATCTAAGTTTAATCATATTCATTCTCCAGTTCAAATAACCTAGGGGTGACCAGTCAACAATGAGTAATGGAGAAATTGAAAATTTTTCCTTTATCTAACCCTCTTTGACTAGGATCTTATAGCACAAATAGTTAAAAACACAAACAATTCTAAATAAACTAATGTAGGTCAATACTTCTGAAGAAACAATCTATCTCAGGAGATTACTGAAAACAGAAGAAAAGATTTATTAACAGCAACATTTTATTTAACACACACTCTCAAACCAGAAAATATAAATAAAACATCTACTTATTGGAAACAACTGGAGTCAATTTTCTGTATGACATGTTAACTTACCACTGAAATGCATTGTAATGGAAGTAGACCAAACCAAGACCGTATAAAAATGCAGCATTCTATAAAGAAAGGAATAAGAGACTTTTAAGGCAAATATTTATATGAAATGTATATCATACTGTTGGGGCAAAACATGGTATTCATAATGTTTTAAGCTCTTAAAATTCTTATGCTATGTAACAATATATTGTAAATATATTTTTTAAACACTAAAATGACAATTATAAGTAAGCAGATGGCACAGAATCCAATCAACTTAGAAAAATATTCTGGTTTCTGGCTAACCAAATTTGTTCTGGGGGAAAAAATCAACTAATAGCATTCAATCAGCAAATTAAACATAAACGTCTATTCTTCAGAGAAAAGAAAATGCTTCGATTGTACTATCTCATTTTTTTCTATTTGGACATATATGTATGCTTTCTGTGCCACCTGTCCCAAATCTTGAAACTCTTTAATTTTATGGTCATTAGCACAGGGGGGTGGGAGGCGGCACTAAAATTCAACAGGATTCATAATATAACTCCACAACAAATTTTACCACTAATAAAAGAATTAGATACAACACCTCCTGAATTACATTTATGGGTTTAAGCACTAGTTCTTTTTGTAGTTTAAAAAACAGGAGCTATACTTACACTTATCCATTTTATCTCCCTCTCATATCCAAATAGCTAATTCTTTTAGGTTTTTGCTGTTGTTTTGGTTTCCTTTAGTTTTGTAGAGATAAGGACTTATTATGAGCCTGGCTGATCTGGTACTCATTACACACAGCCCAGGCTAGCCTTGAATTAGAAGCAATATTCTTCCTTTTGTTTCCCATGTACGAGATGACATGTACCACCACACTTAATCATACTCGTCTTATACATATATGTTTGAGCATACATATATACTATACCAAAAATGATGCAAATCTGTTTTAGTAAATCTTTTCTAAAAGTCAAGCTTTCAAACCATCCTTTTCTCAAAATTTCTCTGCTTTCTAAGATTTTAAATTTTTAAACTGGGCTGGGCGGTGGTGGCACACACCTTTAATCCCAGCACTCGGGAGGCAGAGGCAGGCGATCTCCGTGAATTCGAGGCAAGCCTGGTCTACAAGAGCTAGTTCCAGGACAGGCACCAAAAACTACAGAGAAACCCTGTCTCGAAAATCAAATCAAATCAAAAAATAAATAAATAAATAAATTTAAACTGGGCTGGAGAGATAGCTCAGTGGTTAAGAGCACTGGCTGCTCTTCCAGAGGACCGGGGTTCAATTCAAGCATCCACACAGTAGTACACAACTGTCTGTAACTTCAATTCCAGGGGATCTGACACCTATACACCAATGCACATAAAATAAAGCTAAAATAAATTATTTTTATAAAAACTTAAACTATGCGCTAGAGAAATGACTCAATTATTTAAAACATATGTTCTTCCAGAAAAACCTGGGTTCAATTCCCAGCCCCACATGGCAGCTCACAACCATCTATAATTACAATAGTTCCAGAAGATACAAACAGGCACATACTAGGTACACAGATACACATGAAGGCAATACACCAACACATAAAATAAAAATAAATCACAAAATATTGAAACTTATTAAATTACTTCTTCACTACTTAGTAGTTTATTTGGTGAGTTAACCTAGCTGAACACCTGAAAGAAAATGAAGATGTTAGGAAGAAAAGAAAGGAGGTCAATATAGGATGAACTGTGGAGCTGATTATGGTTGTTAGCAACTGGGACTCAATCTTGCCGGAAATCTCTGACAAATAGTGTGGAACATTTCTCAGAGTCATCTTGCCCTAAGTGTAAGGAACCAGAGCACACAGCCCACAATAGTTATAAAACACTAACTTGAGAAAAAAAGAGTGTGTGGTTTAAGTTTAAAGCCCCAATTGTAAACAGGTAGATAATTTTTTGGACATGAATTTTTAATAATAAAAATTTTTCTAGGACTATATTATTCATTTCCTTTGAAGTCGATATGCCTTCTAAAAACACTGAAAAACATTTAACTACATTGTAAAATCTAATAACGTGGTAATTTACTTTCATTATATCCTCATTACCCCCAATTTTCTAAATGAGAACATTATATATGACTAAGGGATACACAAAATTGAAGAGTTAAGAAGGTCTCAACATTCATTGTGAAAATTGGTATTTAATTTTTTTAAATTTCACTAGAGTTGTTTTTAATCAAAATCATTTCCTAATCCATCCTCTGAATACTGAAGAGGCTGTACAAAACTAGCTAAAATAAAATGTATTTCCCCAATTCTCAGAAAAAAATGTAATATATGATACAGTAAGAAAAATATAGATACTCCCAACACAGGAGCAGTTAAGAGTCACGAAATGCATTATCTATAAGGTCAAGACCTGAAAGACAACTACTTTCTTGGAAGATGGAAACAATAATTGAATCCCAACAAGTAACAGCACACGTGTGCATGTGCATGCATGCATGCATACAGTTTATTGAAGTGATTTTCTCCTTCCAGAACTCATCTTACAATCTCCCAATATCTTTACTTTGTTGATACTACATCTTTCTCTTTCTTTGGGAAACTTCTTCCCATCCCTGCCACACTATAAATCCATTTAAATATATACTATAAAAATTCATTTAAATTCCATTTTCTCTGTGAAGCTTTGCTGCTTGACCTACATCAACTTAGAGGAGGTATCTCTAACTTCTAAATTTGTTCTTAGCACAATGTATCATGATACCATTGCTTAACAAGAACTTAGTTTTGTTCAGAATGGTAATATTTTCTATTTTATAAGACCAACAACCTCATGAGGCAGACAGTTTCACTTATAAAATAAAAAGAAGACTCAAAGAAAAGCAAATGCTCAATGAGATCAATAATCACTAAGCAGCAGATATAGGGATTAACTAGGTCAGCCTCCAAAACTCACTTTTAGCTATTTTTCTGTAGTTTTGTTATTTGTGTATTAATTGAACTTCAAACAAAAATGATAAAGACAGGAATGTGAGGCAGACATGATGGCACATGTTGATAATGACAGCACTTAGAAGGCAGAGGCCAAGTGGATCACTGTCAAGGTCAAGGCCAGCCTGGTCTACACAGCATATTCTAAGACATCTTCAGTAATACACACTAAAAACTTATCTCAAGAAAAAAAAAAAACAAAAACAAAAGAATGCCAATTAAATGTGTGTAGTCCTTGTTGTAATACAGCATTGTATACTCCAATACAGCAGATACCCAAAGACTCACTAAATCTAATCAACCATCATTTAAAGCTGTGCTTAGTTCCCATGTGTGACCCAGTATCAATATGAGACATTACCCCGTCTATTAACTAAGAGCTAAGTTTCATTTTTTTTAGTAACAGTGACAAAAAATCTTCAAACATTTGGTGTGGTGATTAGCTGTAAATCATAGCTGATAGCAATAACTAAGTTCAGAATACACCACCCCCAAAATACATCTTGGTAATGTGGGATTCCTCTCTGTATCTGTGAATATGTTTTATTACCACTGGTTAATAAAGAAGCTGCTTTGGCCTATGGCAGGGCAGAATATAGCTAGCTGGGAAAACTAAATTGAATGCAGGGAGAAAGAAGGCGGAGTCAGACAGACACCATGTCTAAGGAGAAGCATGCCAGAACCTCACTGGTAAGCTGGTAAGGATGTAGGTAAAGAAGAACTTTTATTCACTGCTGGTAAAAGTGTAACTTCAGTAGCTACTAGGAAATCAGCAGGGAAGTTTCTCAAAAACCTAAACATAAAACTATCATACAATAGCTATCACTTCTGAATAAATATCCAAAGAACTCTAAGTCAACATACCATAGAGCAGTGGTTCTCAACCTTCCTAATGCTATGACCCTTTAATATAGTTCCTCATGTTGTGGTGACCTGCCAATTAAAAAATTGTTTTTGTTGTTAATTCATAACTGTGATTTTGCTACTGCTATGTAGCAATGTAAATATATGATATTCAGGATATTTGATATGCAACCCCTATGAGAGGGTTGTTCAATCCCCAGAGGGGTCATGACCCATAGGATAAGAACCACTGCCACAGAGGTACTTGCACATCTATGTTTACTCCTGTGCTATTCACAGTAACCAAAAGATGAAACCAGCCTAGGTACCCAGCAACAGATGAACAAAATAGATATAGATAAAAAAAAAGAAATTGTGGCTCATATACACAATGATAATTTATTCTGCTGTAAAGAAAAATGAAGTCAAGACATTTGAAGGAAAATGGACAGAACTGGAAATCATTATATTAAGCAAAATATGACATGCTCAGCATCACAAATGTTACATGTTTTCGGTTTGGCAGTAGTGGTGCACACCTTTAATCCCAGCACTTGGGAGACAGAGGAAGGCAGATCTCTGTGAGTTCGAGGCCAGCCTGAGCTACACAGCGAGTTCCAAGATGACTGGATTGCACAGAAAAACACATTCTCTCATACGAAGGAACTCAATTTAAAATTCTACATATATGTCCATTTAAAAAAATTAAGTTTCTGATGAGGAAGAAGTAGCAACAGAGTTTCTAGAAAAGCTATAGTTTCTCCTTTTCTTTGTGTAAATGTATCCCTTCCTTTGAGTCAAAGTCAAGAGGGCTGAAGGGATTAAGTACAGGTCAGAGTTGTATGAAAATGACTTCAAAATGAAAATATCAGCAGTTCTTCTCCTCTACCCACAAATACCTAGTACTCTACTTCTAAGGAATTTCTAGGCTTGAAAAACGCAAGATATTTTGCACAGACAAGCTGGCTATCGGGGGTTCACGTGCCTTTCACCATTCAAAAAAAAAAAAAAAGGAAGTAAAAACTCTAGCCCAGACAATAACAACTTTGGTTGCTGTGGGTGAGGGGGAATCAATCAATAGGCTAACATCTTTTAGAGCAGTGAAAATACTTTGCATGCTACCATAATGGTAGAGTCAAGCAGTTACACATTTTCCCAAGACAAAGGAATGTACAACACAGAGTGAACCCTAATATATACAACAATATATCTGCCTGGCAATGATTTGTCAAATCTAAAGTGTACTGATAGCAACTAATTTACCATGTTAGGGGATGTTTTTTGATAACAAAGGTGTTCTCTGAGCATGGTGTAGTCATTGTAGTCATTGAGGTCCTAGAATCAATGCAGATATGTGATCACCTGCACAAGACATTCCAAGACTGTACCCATTAATATAACTGCAACAACACTTTCTATACTTTCATAATAAGGCCCTAAACCACTATTGCCACTTTGCTAATATTTGATAGTAATGGACAAGGCCCCAACTCTTAGACCCATGCTGAAAAAGAAAAGAGAACTACTACCTAATAACACTAACTTGAAAAAAGCAAAACTGATCATAAATGGGCATGGTAGTATTGAATATATTAGAATTTTAAGACAATACAAGTTATAGATCATAGGAGAGTACCAACAAGTTTAATATCTGAAGACTTTCATTTTACTGTGATTTGCAGACTGAGAGAAAAATATGAAACCTTTATCCTAGGAGCATACTGTGATAAGTAGCAATAGCTTGAAAAAATACCCTTTCACAAAGGGTGAGAATACAGAAGAGAATACTGATGCAACTAATTAAATAATTCAAGTCTCTAAAACTTTTATTAGACAAGTTCTAAACTAAACGAAGTTTAAGACAAGGTTCTATTATTGCGTTGTCTTTTCTGTTTTCTTTGGTAATACTGAGGGTTGAACCTGTGGCCTCATAAATACCATCCAACTACTGTACCACTAAACTGTTGCTCATCCCCAATTTTCAGTTGAAACAAGTTTGGCTGTCAGTCAACATCAAGTATTCTATATGCCATAATCATCTTTGGAAACAATTATATTTTACGCTGAGATGCAATTGAAAAATGAATTCATATCAAACTATGAAACAGGCCAAAAAAGCTGCTTATGCCAAAAAGCACTGACTCCTTACTTGGGAAGAAAGACAAGTGAAAACAGGATAAAAATATGACATATCTAACTTCATTCTGAATCTGTTTCTTACTTGTTGACTCTGACTCCTACCTGACTTCTGCCTAACTAACCTATTCTACCTCCTTCCAGGCTAAGTGACAGAGATGTCACTATCCTACATCTGCAGTTACCTTGGATTTCAGGAAGAACAAAACCATGCAGGACAGACTACCTACAAATGAATGCAATTATTGACTAGGAAAAAGTTATATCCTGTAGAAATAGTCACCTGCAAACCACCTTGTCATCTCAAGCACTGAAGACTTCTAACCATTTTGGAGGATCAGAGCAAGGGGTCCATAAATGTTGGATCCCTGTCTTGACAAAAATTGCTTAATTATGCACATTTCTTAGCCCATTTTCTCTCTATTTTAAACCTAGAGCTCATGTCATTACCCAGATGATTATTTGGGGTTAGTGTACCTCTTTATCTATTCCTCTTCCCAAAGTGGCTACTGTGAATAAATTTCTAACTTTTTAACCATGGAAAATAAATCTCTAACTTTTGTCTCCTTAATTGGGGTGTCAGGGTAAGTTGCCAAACTTACCGTGTTTCAGACTATCAGAGCCAGAAGTTTTATCTTACAAGATTTGGTTATACAACTTTTAAAAAAAAATCCAATCATGCTATCACTAATTCCATACAAAGTGATACAAAGCAGGAAAAAGACTTTACTGGAGATCGTTTGAGGGGTAGGAAGAACAAATAAAGATCTGAAGGCATTCTAGAGGTTCTAGCTATAAACTTCCTCGTAGTTACCTCAACCCTTTGTATATCCTATAAACAGATAAAACTATAAGAATGTCACATGGAATTAAGAAAACCAGATGTTCTGTGCTACTTCAGATTGTTTCTTAAGAAACAACAGTAACAGCATCAATTCACTGCTTTGGTTTCAACAGCCACATCATTTTAGGCACCACAGAGTTAACAGAGATTTCCCATTTAAACCTGGATACCAAGATTTTTAGTAAAATTATTGACTGAAAATATTTGGGGAACAGAGGTATACAAGTGGAAAAAAGCACAACTTTTACCTATCTGGTAGAAATCAGAAAGAATAATTTCATATCAATTTAAAAGGATTAATGAGCCTAAAATAGAATATGCTAAAATTATTAACAATGCAGTACAAAGACAAAGACACAGAAATACAAAATTGAACTTAAGAATTGGCAAGTTTATTATAAATTTAAAAAGTTTGCCATATAGAGGAAAGGTAAAATGGGGCCTAGGTGATATTTAAAAATATGGTAGGTTTAAAAAAACACATACACAAAACAAAACCTTCTAGTTATGAAGACTGTAATATTCAGATGCAGAAAACTGAATAAATAAAATGAAATCCCATACAAATAGTAAAGTTGCGGAAGACAAAAAACAGATCTCTTAAAAGAAGCCAGGGGATTTAGGAGCTTGAAAAAGGCTTCAAAGAAGTTTTAACTTTCAGTTCAAAGAAGTACAGGGGATAGAGAATCAGCTAAGCCATACCAAAATAACACTAACAAACTTTCAAAAACATAGTAAAGCTAAAAGAATGGAAATAACCAACAAGTCTATACTAGAAAAATAAATTAGAAATAGAATAAAAGAGCTACAGCAAAACACTGTCTTGAAAAACAAAAAGTAGAATAAAAGAACAAGTATCAATGTATTCACACAAATAAATTTTTATTACATAATTAAAGTAACATTGAATCTAAAATTTCATCAAATTTAAGATTCATATATAACATAAAGAAAAAAACACTTCAAATTAAGGTGTGATTGCACTTAAGATTAAGCATTAAGAAAGTTTTTTAAATAATTTTAAAGAAATTTTATGAAATATATTTGTGTGGAGAACATTTTTGGAGTGGGGGAGATGGATACATGTCACACAGTACATGTGTGGAGTCTGGAGGACAACCTGCTGGTGCCAGTTCTCTCCTTCCACCTTGTAGGTTCTGGGGATTGAATGCAGCTCAGGCTTATTGGCAAGTGCCCTTACTCACTGAGCAATCATGCTGGCCCTTGAAACCATATTATACTAAATAAAAGATAAATCTTTATCATACTTCAATATTTCTTAACAAGAGAGAAAGGGATAAATAATGTAAGTAAATTCGTTAAGAAATCTTGTATATGGGCTGGAAAGATGGCTAAGCAATTAGGAGCATTTGCTGTTCTTGCAGAGACTCTGCCTGGCTTCATTCAGTTTCCAGCCGCCATACAGTGGCTAACAACTGGCCTGCTGTAGCACCAGGAATGCATACAGCATTAAGGAAAAAAAGGGGGGGGGGGCTGGAGAGAAGGCTCAGTGGTTAAGACCATTAACTGCTCTTCCAAAGGTCCTGAGTTCAATTCCCAGCAACCACATGGTGGCTCATAACCATCTGTAATGAGGCCTGGTGCCCTCTTTAGGCATGCATGTAGACAAAATATTGTATACATAATAAATAAATAAATAAATATTAAAAAAAAGAAAAAGAAAAAAGACACAAGGGGAGAACACACTTTTTAAAATTTTTTTAATTCACTGTTGTCTGTGGAAGTGTATTGAAAATAATCTTTATACCACGTTTGTGGGAAAGCAAATGAAATTATTAATGAGAATAAATTCTCCCCTAAAACAGTTCATATACACAAGGTAGACACAACAAAATGTTAATATGAAAAACTGACAAACTTTAACATCTATGATATACAATTTAGAGAAAATAAGATATGTGTTTCTGAGACTAATTTAATGTGCTTAATACAATCATCACCAGTTGTATTCATTTTCATACGAACATAATTTCATTTTTCTTATGACTGAAAAAAATTTCAGTGTACAGATGTTTTCTATATCTATTCATCTCTTCTTGTTGGATACCCAGGTTGGTTCCAAAACTACTGTGAACAATGACATAAGATTCCCTGTGATATGTAGACTTTAAGTCTTTTGAGTAAACACGGAGAAATAGTATAGCTGGATCATATCGTAGGTCTATATTTCCATAATGCCAGGATGAGTTTACATTCCCAGAAGTGTACAAGGGTCGCCCTTCTGTCTCCTCCTCCAGCACTTTTTGTTACTTCCTTCTAAAGACTTATACTCTGACTAGGGTGAGAGAGAATCCCAACAGAGTTTCATTTACATTTCTCCGATCACTAAACGTGGACACCTGGCTCTCCCTTTCCGTAGCCAGATTTGAGTCTAAGCCCTTTTTCCAAAAAGAGCCTAAGTGTTTGTCATAATTATAATTTCAATTTTCTGTCACCCATATATCCAAAGAGTCTGGAATGCTAAGTTGGGAACATAGGTCCCAGTCCCTTGCATCTATCCCAGCCCCCAGGCCTGGTCTGGACTTCAAATCCCAACAGGCCAGGTCCTGACCAGCATGGGTGTCCCAAGAGTTTGGCAGCCGAGTGGTAGTGAGGATTTAGTAAATACCATCAGAAGTATCAGGGAGAAACAATCGGCTAAATGCAAACAATAGTTTCACCGAAAAACCCTGTTAATGGAAATTATATATATATAAAAGTAATTTGTATCTGAGTTTTACCTCAAGATTGTAAAAATTCTTCTGTTCATGCCTAATGCTTGCTTCTTGCTAAAAATGGGGAGTTGGAAAACTGCCCATTGCCACAGCCATACAAGCCCATCTCTGAATAAGCTTTTTGTGGCTCATGGAGATTATTTTTTTCTTTTTCTGCAATAAAGTTTGCTTCTGGTTTAATAGACTTTGGTGGTCTGTCCACCATCTTTGCATGACACCCCCCCCCGCCCTCGCCGTGAACCCAACAATACTGATTTCCCTTTTCTAGTCTCTTTCCTGAAGAAGTAACATTTTCAAGTAGTCACAGAAAGAGCTCTAATATTTTTTTTTGTAACAACCAATAATCTACCAAAGAAAGCAAACAGGAAATAAGCATGAAAATGTGCACCAACCTTCCAGTAGTCAGACTGTAAACTGTAGTACCTCTGGTACGCAGATAATGCTAAAAGAAGAAAAATAATGAGTCACAATTATGTTTCATTTAAAGTCAATCAAAGTTTTAACAAACATTATTATAGTAGGTATTTAAAAGCTGCCTTTGCCAATAAGCACTGGTTCTCACTTGAATCCACAAGGTAACTAAAGCGGGACATGTTTGCCTTCATTTTGTCTATCTCCCACTTAACTTTAAAGGTAGGCATATTAGTCACTCCAGGAATATCAGTCTAAAAATTTATGATATGTAACCCACCTCCCAACTTCGCCCTCTACACACTTCTTCCTCCTCAAGGCACAAAGAAATAACTGAAGCAATTTACTGTCATCTTTCATATCCTGTTTTAAACAATAGTCACTCCGGATGCTTGGAAGAGGAGAGACTCATATCCAGATCACTCTATGAGATTATTACCAAGGCAGGAACAATCCTTGGTGTTTTATAGGCAATGTGTTCAAAAGAGATGCACAGATTCTCCAACAGAAGCAGAAGGTCATGCAGGCCAGATTCAACAAACTATTTCTACATGCCCAGAGATTCTAGTTCTGGAACTTTGCAACCTATAAAACATGGTGCACTAAGAATTACCAGCAAACTAACGAAAAGAAACAAACAGGGAGGGGGTGCTGTGGGACAATGGTTTGCACTCTGTCAACTGTATTTTAATAAAACGCTAATCGGCCAGTAGTCAGGCAGGAGGTGTAGGCGGGGCAACCAGACAGGAAGTAGAGGCAGGTCAATGAAAATAGGAGAATTCTGGGAAGAAGGAAGTCCTAGTCTGCAGTCGTGGCCAGCCACAGAGGAAGCAAGATTTGACTACCTCTCTGAAAAAGGTACCGAGTCACGTGGCTAACATAGATAAGAATAATGAGCTAATATAAGTTATAAGAGTTAATAAGAAGTCTGAGCTACTAGGCCAATCAGTTTATAACTAATGTAGACTTCTGTATGATTTCTTTTGGACTTAACGAGTGTGGGAACCAGGCAGGATAGAAATCTCAGTGGGGGGGGGGCAACTTAAAAAAAATAACAATATGAGATGAAAAAACAAACTCTTTAAAAGAATCGCTGCTTTCATTAGAGAATTCAAAAAAAGAAAACCAAGCAGGGGGCTCTAAAGAAATAAAATTTCAAAAATAAAATTATTATAGAATAAAGCAATATAGAAGGATAAGATTAGGAAACTCAAGAGACCCCCCTCAAAAATGAACAAAAACTAAACAAAAAAAATAAATAAGCAAAAGAAACAAACAAAGAAATCATTTACTGGAGGGCTAACTCCTCCTGCTAAAAACATCAAATCCTCTCGAGCCCACAAGCTAACATTACAATAAAAAGACTTAAAATATAAAATATCTCTACCTTCATTTTGTATCTATGTCCTTTACTTTTTCTCAGATTCCTGCCTGAATCTGCCTAACCTAACTTATTTCATTCCTGTCAAGGCTAAAGCCAAAGATACACTGTTTTCCAAAACCTCCAGTCAGTCACCTTAGACTTCAAAAAGGAAAACTTTCCTGGACAAATAGCCACCTTCTCCAATAAAAGTAATTATCCTTGAAGGTTGAGGCTACAACCAGAAACTAAAGAACTAAAGTAATCATGTTGTAGATGATATCCACAGTGGTCCCTGAGGGGATCAACCACCTTGTAGAACCAGAGCTGAGACAAAGAAGGACAGGACCACTTTTAACCCAGACTGCTTAATTATGCTTCCTCTTGCCCTCTAGTTAAACCTACGTCTTACTTAAGCACCCAGAAGACAGACCTAGGGGGCCACAGAACTCCTTTATCTGCTTTTCACACTGTTGCTACAATGAATAGGTCTCCTCTCCACTTTCCTCCATTACTCATTTGGTAACTGGTGGGTTAAGACCTAGTCTAGCCTGTTGGGAGGTATAGAAGCTTGGGCTTCTACTCTTAAAAACTCAAATTACAATTTCAGAAAATTCCCAGAAAGAAGGCTATATACTAGATTGTAAAGGCTTACAACAGATTTGTCTTTCAAATTTCTAAAGGAAGATTATCTCCAACAATAAAATTAAGATATCCACATTCTTAGTTCAGAGGAGAATAACTCAACCAAAAAAACTTCCAGCATTAGGTATCAGCAGACTTGGAAATCATTAAAAAGAATCCTCCCAGATAATCTATAGAGTTTGTAAACCAAAATCTCAAACTATGGGACTTTCACAACTGGTCACAAGAATGGGATCTGAGTACATGTCTGCCCCTGGGTAGAGAGACATGATATTGTAAGATTACTACCTAGGTAGAGGCTTTCTGGTAAAGCACAAAGATAAAACACCGTGCCCTCTTAACAGTTAGTGTAAATGTGCCAGGTAATCAATCACTTGGACAAGAAAACATCTCTCAAGAAGTTTACCTGTTCTTAAAACTTTGAAAATAATAAGCCCTACCTAAAATGTAGGTGGCACAATGGTCTCTGGACACTAAGCTCTTTTTTTCATTCTCTCTCTCTCTCTCTCTCTCTCTCTCTTTTTCCTTTGGTTTTTCTGAGACAGGGTTTATTTCTGTCTAACAGCCCTGGCTGTTCTCGAACTCACAGAGACCCACTTGCCTCTGCCTCCCAAGTGCTGGGATTAAAGGTGTGTGCTACCATCACCCAATTTGCACTGAACTCTCTTACGCAGTAATAATGTTCTACTCCAGGATGGACTCTTTGACCACTGCCTACTCCCATCCCTTGAGAATAATAAACTATACCTTCTATACTATACTGAGCATTTTAACTTTTTCTTAAAAAGATCCCAAGGACTATGGAGTCAAGGAGAATCCAGAGAGAAATCAGGTAATAGCAGAACCTTTCCCAAAGAAAATACTGTCAAGTGTGTTCCTCTTAAAAGCACAATACATACCAACAAATAAGATATAAATTATTGAAAACCAGGAGACATAAATGAAATGAGCCTTTAAGAACACCTAAGATAAAGAAAAAGTGAAATCCCAGGATAACAACTATACATGGCCTCCATGAACAGAGAAAGACCTATCCTTAGATTTTGCTGTCCCTTGTAACTGCTTTTTCAACCTGAGAACTGAAGACTCTTCTAGGGCCGTATTTTTCTTAATTATGTACAGTCTGATGAACTTCTTTGTCTAATCTCTACATGCTACAAAATGGACAGGAAACAGCTCCTACACACAGAGAGAAATACTAAGTATGCTGTATTCCTTATGTTCCAAAGTTTCTAGTATTTGGCTATTAGTCTTACTCAATGTACTAACTACAGGTATTAGGTTTGCCAGAATTCACAAATACCCTAACCCACTTCTCTTCCTCAAAAAAACGGCTCTTGTAGGATCTAGAGATAGCTCAGTGAGAACAAATTGCTCTCACAAAGGACACAGGTCCAATTCCAAGCACCCATATAGTAGGTCTGTAATTACAGTGTAAAAGAATTCAATGTGCTTCAATGCCCTCTTCTGGCCTCTGCAGGCATCAGACATACACATGACACACAGACATACATGCAGACAAACTCCCATGCACCTAAAGAGAGGGAAGGGCACACTCATAAATAGCAAAGTAATCAGAAGCTAGACCATGACTCAGAATCTCTTGATTAGTTTCACTTCTACTAAGAACCTACTACTATCTTTGTGACCATAGGGTACTTTCTGTACACAGCTGTATTTGTGTTTATTGTCAGATGATCTGTGTACATGAAATCAAGCAAGCCTTGAGCTCTCAACCCCCTCTTGCCTCAGCCTCTAAATGCTGTGCTTCTAGTATGTGTCATAAGACTTGGCTTGTTACTCAATTTTCCCAAACTAGACAATATATTATTAGAGATAATTTTATTAGTGGCCCTAATAAAATGAAAAAAGAAAACTGGGAAAACACTGAAATTTCAGACAGAGTACATCCATGAAGAAAAGTAGAGGGTAATAGTTGAAGAAACCATAGGCTACACCACTATTGTTCCACTTTTTTTTTGTTTTTTGAGATACAGTTTTTCTACATAGCCCTGTCTGTCCTGGAACTATCTCTGTAGACCAGGCTATCCTAGAACTCACAGAGATCCGACTATCTCTGCCTCCTAAGTGCTGGAATTAAAGGCATGCACTACCACCACCCAGTAAACTCTGCCTGGTTACTATCACATATCTTAACAAGTAACCTTTTCATTTGAATAATATTAGTCTTTCTTTTTCCATTAAAATTACACTAACCAAAATATCACTGAAAATCAAACTATGATTTAAGTTTTCCAGTGTTGCAGAAAGCTGTTTTACGTATCCCAATCCCTAGTGCTACATATATATAGTGTACCTAGTACTAATTAGAACAAACAACAAACATTTCTATAGTGAATGGTATGACTGACATATCAGATTATCTGTTTCCAGCACATTGGCAAACTCCCGTCACTGATTTAACAGTGTTGTTCCTGACAATCTCAGTGATAATATTAGTCTAGAAATGTGCCAACCACCACTGACTTATATATGAAAATCATGGAAAGGTTTTGCCCCTACCGCTGGATATAATTAAGAAAATATACCATAAAATACCACCACAAGAGGAGCTATTTTCCTGGCATGCAGAAGAACCAAATGGAAAAAAGTTAGATCCTTCTTGACTAGACACTGCCTAGAACACAACTCACCTATTAACTTTGTAATTCTATGAATAGATTTACTATACAAGGTAGTCTTTGACATTTGTATCCAAAAATCATTATATTCAACAGACATCTGGGTCTTTGACAGATGTTAGTCAGGATAAAAAACACAAAGACTTCTATAGTATGATCCCATTTAATTGTGAGTTACCTGGAGTATATGTTTTCAATGACCTAGTTATTATTAACACGTACCTCTTGACTACATAAAATTTATTTTCAGAATTAGAAACTCTTAAAGAAACCATAATACCATCCATATTAAATGAAACTGCATTACAAGAAGCATACTGTTATTACTGATTGGTAGAAACATGGCATCTATACAACAATGGGTTGAATTAATAAATATAAAACCACAAACTCAGAGTTGGTACTCTAAATTGCAAGAAGAGTTATAAATGAGGCATTTCTTCCATCTATCTTTCTACTTAACTACATACTTTCTCAGTAATTACACTTTACCTCCATTAGGTTTGGCATCTCAATTTTGTGTTTCTTAATCCACATAAGTCAGTGAGAGCCTATAAAGGTTATACAAGTACCTATCACCTGGGTCTTTCTAGTAAAATCTCTTCAAACAGTCCTTATTTCTAATCTTTATTTACGGTTTTTTTTTAAAGTTCTTACTTCACTTTAGGTATTTGTAAGAATGAAGAATGATAGAAATCCTCCATTTCAATATCCTTGTTTCAAATCTGTTTCAGAAAGACTGTAGCAAAAACTAATTTTTTTTGCTAGACAAAATTACTATCAATTATTAGAAAATAGACCCTTTTTTGGTCTTACACTATAAATATCTCACAATGGAGTACTGTCATTTAATTAAAGAAAACAAGCTCAGTCAAAATTTCTACAAAGTACCAAATCTTGGCATACAACCTGTCCTAGCAATTTCTAACTATCTAAGTACTAAAACATTCCAAACCTACTTTGCCACAATATGACAGGTAAGGGGTAAGAGGGTAGAAGGGGTAAGGAGGGAAAGAGGTCAATTACTTAAAGGAAGAAGAAAAAAAAAAAGAAAGAAATGCCAACTGAAATGTACGTTTCTGAAATTCCCTTCCAAATCTTTTACCTCATAATTTCAGCCTTTTTAATAATTGGTCAAGGATGTTTTAGCTTCATTTCTACCTCAGTGCAATACTAGTTCTAGTCTCCAGCTTCCATAGGTGTTGATCCTAAAGCCAATTCCTTACTAAATAAAGGCTGCATTACCATGGGAATCTAATACACAGCAGTAGGCTAAGTGTATTGGGTATCAACTTTGCTGGAATCTTGCTCTTTTTAGGTTAAATTCCTAGAAGCAAAATGACCAAACCAAACGACAGGATTATTTTTTAAACTCTCTGTAAATATTATCAATCAAAAAGATTAAAAAAATGTTTTTAACAAAGCAATTTTTCCTTCTAAATAAGTAAAAATTTATCTGGAATGACAAATATACGTCAGCAGAAAGATAACCATATTGTATCGTTAACTAACCAAAAATGTTTTAGGAATTCATTTAAGACAGGAAGCAGGTGATATCAGAAAGATAAATACAGCAAAATTACAACCCAAATGTTCATAAAATAGGTTCTACAGTTTACTATGACAAGTATAGCAGTAAGGTTTTTTGCTGTTTCTTTCTTTCAGGAGATAAGGGGCTGAAATGGAGTTTCTTTGTGTAGGCCTGGGTGTCCTGAAACTAGCTCTTAGACCAGGCTAGCCTCAAACTCATAGAGATCCAAGGGTCTTTGACTCCCTAGTGCTAGAATTAAACCACCGTCCAGTTTTGCTTGTTGTTTCTAAAAGAAACTAAACTCATAGATATTCTGAGTTCAGGGAATTTTTTAAAAGAAGTAACAAATCCATGCATATAATCATTCTCTTATTAACAAAGAAGTAAGTCTCCTATACATGTGTATATGGAGCACTATACTCAAAGATTTACATGTTCACTATATGGTTCATGGTAACTTTTTTAAAAAAAAATATGTTTTATCATGTTTCCTAAAATTAAATGTCTATTTAGCTGAGGTCAGTACTCTTATCTTGTGCCAGTTACAAATAAAGTAGTATACCTAAGGAAAGAAATGCCTTTCTAATCCATACAAAAGTAGATGAGTATTTAGAGTACATATTTTTCAGTGGCTTACTGATTACTCCCACCAACTAGTTTGTCAGCAGTAGAGATATTACATGCCTATATCCAACCTTCCAAAACAGAAAATTTCCAAATGCCCCTCAGTACTTTGTTATCTTCACAGACCAACTTTTTGTTTGTTTGTTTGTTTGTTTAATCATTTGTTATAAGACAAGTTCTCAACTCTGTAACCCAGTCTGATCTGGAAGTCACTACACTGGCCTCAAAGTTACAGCAGTTCTACTGCCTCAGACTCCTACTAAATGATGGGGCAATAACATGAGCAATCATACTTGCATGCATATATAAGTTTGTATGTATGCGTGCAGTTGTCTGCACATGAGAGCAGGTGTCCACAGATGCCAAAGGTGTTAGATCCTCCTAGAAATGGAGCTAGAGTTACAGGGGGTTCTGAGTCATCTAATGTGGGTGCTGGGACTCAAAATTTCATCCCCTGAAAAGCAATACATGCTCTTAAATGTTGAGCTATTTACCTCTCCAGTAGCCCCTAGCTGAACATTTTATGAATTTAAAATGTAGCTAAATTCACTGAAATAAAGTTTTAAAAGTTAAGGGCTGGCAAAATTGCTCAGCAGATAAAGAAACGTACTTGTGGCCAGGCTTAATGGCCTAAGACCAACTCCAAAACCCAAATGATAGGTAAAACTAACTACAAGTTGTTCTTTGACCTCTACACCCATGTACATATATGTGTGCAAATACACAAATAAATTAACCAATTAATTAATTAATTAGGATGTTTAAAATAAGTTAAAAAATAAATGATTTAGTAAGGTCACTAAATGACACAGAGCACTATACAGAGCACTATATATGAGCAGTTCAAGTCTAGGTCCCTCTTTATGTGTTGTCAAGCTAATGTGCTCTCTGTACATAAAGGTGTAGCATTAAAACAAAACAGATTTCCTAAAATTCTATATACTTCTAATATAATAGCTCCCTTTAAATAAGTTATCAGCTTCAACTGATATTAAAACATTAAGTATCAGGCCAGCAAGATAACTCAGTAGGTAAAAAGTACTTATCTACCAAGCCTGACAACCTGAGTCCCTTGACACCCTCAAGGTGGAAGAAGAGAACTGACTCCAAAATGCTGTTCTCTAACATCTACAACACATGCATACTTTCTACAAAAATAAATGAGTAAATAAATAAATAGATGCAACAACAACAACAAAACCACTCTGAGTGTTAGAATACTGAACTAAAGCTAAGTACTAATCAGTATCAATCACTTAACAATCCTAAAATTCCTGAGCGATCATCTAGTACTTCTTTCTGCCTTTTACATACTAGAAGACGAAAACTCAGGTATGTTTATATAATCTGCAATAAATAATGCAGCTAAACTGGGACTTAAGTCTAATTTTGAATTTCACATAATATGAATGTTTCAGACTAAAATTCTACTTCCATTAAGGAAAATGTGTGACCTGACACAAAACCGGCATGATACAGTAACAATGTGAAATACCAACAATCCTTTACTCTAGCCCTAAAACTTTTCATTAAGTACTCTGCCCACGTTTGCTGAAAACAAACACATCTATTGCATGAGTTTAATGTTACCAAAAGTTTAAATGTTATCACTTGTAAGAACAGTTTTCCTTTGCTATGGAATTTTCCTTTTGTATTGAGGAAGGATGGACAGCTTTTTAACTTCCTGCATAAATAATGGTTTAATTTGGCAGTTTAGTTCCTTGAAAAAAAGCACACCTCAGAGGATTGACTACTTACTATATTCAGATATATAACTTAGTTATTTCTTGATGAAGAACATTTAAGTATATAAAATAGTTTTATTTAAGGTTCAAACTCATGTGTTCCTCTCTCTGCCTTTACAGTAACATGACTATAGCTTAGAGTTTTATTCAAATACTTTCTAGTTAAGATGGACAAGATTTATAGGGAAAAAAAAACAGTAAGAAAACTAACTTTGTACTACCTTTCCTATATGTCCTAGAGGAGCTTTTGCTCTCAGTTCACCCCTCAATGGAGCCTTGCAATTGCTAAGCAAGCACTACCACTGAGCTAAATTTCAAACACTAAGATAACAGTGTTTATAGGAGGCATTTTCACGGAGTAAAACAAAACTACAATGCAAGTTTTGTACACAGAGGGTTTCTTTTTTTTTTTAATAGATCTTATTTTATTAATTATTTACCTGCAGCTACGTGATTTTCCCAATTCCATCTATTCTGTTTTCTCTTACTGTTTACTATAAAGCTCATGAACTTATAGCTTCTTATAAATGAAAATGACAGTGCCCTTCATAATTATAATTACTTGAAATGAAGATATGAATCAAAGAAATCAATAAGAAAACAAGTTACCTTTTGGATAATCCTCCAACAAGAGGTTGAAATGACCTAACTGACAAAAGAAATCAGACTCCACTTTTCCTTCAGCTTTTAAGATCAGAGATTCGTAGCAGCGAACAGCCTAGAAATAAAAGAACACAAATGTTTAAGAGATAGGTAAAAATCCTAAAAACACATTCTCTCCCTAAGATTGTATATATCCTCTACTAATCATCACCCAGGAAACCAATGAACTTTTCTAATATCTCCATACATCAGGGCATCATTCTTTAAAACAAATAGCTTAAGTATTTAATCAGAAATTCCACTGATAAGGGCATAAATATCTTTCTCATCTACAAAACTACAAAAATATCTGACAAATCAAATAAAGGAGAACTTTGACAATTCTGTTTATAAGTTACAAATATAAACTATTACTATATAAACCTATTCAAATCAAACAATATTCATCTTTCCTACAGGCATGGAGAATTTAACTGAATTAGGTGAGAAGTCATACAATCTCTGTAGTAAGAACAGCTACCATTTATACTTAACAGTTCACTTTTTACCAAAATCTATACCAGATTTAAACTACCTTACAATTATCTTTTCATTGTTATAAACTCAAACACACTAATTCTAACTCTATCTTACACTCCCAAAATATTTATATACACTCATATTCCCTTTCTCAGAAAAAATTCTTACAGCTGTTAACTCCCTTGAACTCTGAAAAATACAAATGACAGAAGAGAGTTTGATGGCATACCCCAGTTGTCATATGCTACAGATCTTCGGGAACTTATTCTCCCTTACCCTCAGACCCGACAAGATGATTAAGATGTCAAAGTTGGTCACGAGAGATGGCTTAGTAAATGCTTTCTGCATAAGTCTGACAACCTGAGTTCAGATCTCCAAATCCCAAGTAAAAAAAAGTCATACTGTCCTCTGACCTCCACACTTGCACAGAAATACCCTCGCACACTAGCATGGACACACACAGTGACAGACAAGAGGAAGGGAGGGAGGGAAAGGAAAAAGGTATGGAGAGAAAGGAAATTTCTCTAAGAGTTCACACAGTACTTGGCACAGAACTAGATACACTTGTTTCTTTTCTTCCCAGGTAACAAAGCTCTTACCCCTACAATCTTTAAGATAATGTCAAAATTTCCTTAAATACTCCATAATGCTGCTGTTGAAAGGTATCCTAGTAGAGTCATCAAATCAAAAAAAAAAAAAGTGATTCTCAAATCTCTGGGTATCCTCTCATTTGGCAAATACAAAGAAATAAACTCAAAATAATCATTTAAAAACACCATTTCATTACTATCATAAAAATTTCCTGGAATGTCTACTTAGAAGGCCTTCATTTTTTGTGATACAGAGCCTTGAAGTGTAGGGAATCGAACAGTTTCAAAATGTATATATTAAATTTACTATTCCGACAAAATTTATCTGTCAACAAGTTTGGAGAACCTACTGCAAACAACGTATATCCAGGCTGATCTTAATATACTTCAGAGCTACAAAAGAATTGTCCACAGTTCGTATTATACTCTTTGACAACTAAATGTGTATGCAGCAAATCACAAGAACCGAGAACCAATCCACTTCTCTATAAAAGAGTCTGGATTCTACAGTAAAGTCTCAGGAATTACTATAATTTAAAGGCACAAAATTTCAAGGGCGTCTTTATACAACTCTTATCAGACAAATGGTTTGAGTATAAAAATACAAAATCAGTTATTGAGTACAGTGAGGGAAGTCCTAATTTTACAATAAATAAAATGTTTATAAAGTTAGTAACAGTATTGTAATTAAAGTTTTCATTGAAATCATTTTTATAGTTTTAGTTTTTTAATTACATTTTTATCCTCTCCCCCATGTGTGTGTTCACCCATGCTATGATGTATATGCAGAGGCCACAGGCAACCAGCATAATCAGGTTCTCTCTTCCTACCATGTGGGTCCCAGGGATTGAACTCAGGCCATCAGGTTTTGAAGCAGGCACCTTTACTCAAGGAGCCATTTCTTGGACCTTCCTTTCTGAAACACTTGGTAAAATACATAGACACTTCTCCCTGACAATTTCTTGCTATTGATTTCTATTAACTTTATAAACGAATATATTTCTGTGGTGAAAAAGTATTCAGAATATAAACATAGAAATCTTCTTTAATAATTTAAGCAAACAAAAAATAAAGCAAAAAACTCCTTATTGCCTTTCATGTCACACAACTATTATGATCATATATTGCTTATGTTCTATTTATATATAGTATATATAAATAACATATTATTTATGTTCATAAAACAGAGGAACACATCTGAAACTATTATATACACCTCTGATCATCCATAAAACATTAACACCAGACAAAATCCAAAATAAGAGAATTTTCAAACTAGATTGAAACTTTCTTAATAATTTCCCCTATATATTCACTGCGAACCTAGTAAACCAACACTGGTAGTGAAACATGATAGTGACAGAAGACAACCAAATGAGACTGAAAAATGAGTGGAAAAGATTTCCAAACAGCTTATGTTAGCATTTCATAAATACCTCATGTATTTATTTGATTTTTGGTAATTCTGATAATACATACAGGCAAATGGTAACATAATTTTTAAGCAATATTTAAAATAAAAATAACAGGGCAATTCAATACTCATATAATAATATAGAAAAATGGTATTGTTTATAACAATATTTTAAAATCAAAGGGTTTGGGTTGGCAAAATAGCTAATAAGCAGCAAAGTGCTTACTTTACGACCTGCCTTTACTTATTCAGAAACATCCCCCACCTCCCCACTTCCCTGTAGGAGAAGAGAAGAATCAACTGAAAGTTGTCCTCTGCTCTCTGATCACCCAAATGCACACATATGCACACCAATTCCTTCTTCAACCCTTCAACATGCTGGATAATGATGATAGTGGACACAAATTATTTGTGAATATAAAAAGAATAGTAATAATATGAAGATATATAATTAGTTGTTTAGATTTAGATGCTCACTTAAATGTCTCCTCACCAAAAATATTTCAAAAAAAAAGCACTTCTTATTCAACGGATAATTTTTAAGCTAGGTATAGTGATATGTACAACTTAAAAAAATGAGGAAGATCTCAAGTCCAGGGATTCAGAATCAGTTTATGAAACACAATGATGCTCCCATTCTAAAAGAAAGGGTATGCATTTATATTATTCATCATATTTTTGATATTTTACTTGAGTTTCAAATACTATATTTACTATACTGTATTTATATCATTTCCATCTCCCACTCCTCCCCTGCCCCTACTCCTTCTCAAATTCATTGCTTTTTATTAATCACATACACACACACACACACACACACACACACACACACTTAGCCACACACAAAACTTCACTGCATTTTGAACACCACAGGTACACAAGTAAAATCCTTGATAATACAGACTACGCTTATACATGACTTCAGGATAAAGTGACTAGAATGTAAAACAAATATTAATAACACAAACTCTAGAAATTATATGTTCATGTCTATAGCTGCTCCATATAAAAGTTCTAATTTGCTTGACTTCTCTGTATTTTCTAAATTTTTCATAACTATATTATTTCTTTGCATAAGTCATTTAAAATTATGCTCTCCCTTGTAATTTAACCTATATCTTTAATATCATGATCTGAATGTAAGTAATATACACAAATATAACTAACATCTATATTTTTATCTATTTACAGAGCAAATACAAACTTTTAAACTGAAAGAGTATTCAATCTATATACTAAATATTAGGCAACCTTTTCAGTTTATAAATAAAAGGCCTATAGAATTAATAAACTGGGCTGGAGAGATGGCTCAATAGTTAAGAGCATTGCGTGCTCTTCCAAAGGTCCTGAGTTCAATTCCTAGCAACCATATGGTGGCTCATAACCATCTGTAATAAGGTCTGGTGCCCTCTTCTGGCCTGCAGGCATACATGTAGACAGAATATTGTATACATAATATTTTTTTAAAAAAAGAATAAACTATCTTATCTTTATAATGACCAACATTTTCCTCAAAATTTATAACAAACAGAATTTAACAATAGCTTATTTATAATTGTAAATATATATATAATTTATTATCTGCTACAAAGAAAAAACATATTGGGAAGGATAATAATCATTACATTTGGAGGCATAGAAAAATGAATTAAGATTGTTCCCTTTCCCCAGCTTTTAAGAAAACTGAAATGTCCTTTCATTATACTGCCATTTTCTACAGTAGTCAATGTAATTTGCTTTAGTAACTGCTTTACTTTTACTATTTGAAAAATCAGTTGCTACAAAATAGTAACATTAGCAACCCCCTCCATTTCTTCTAGACCTGTCTGGCTCTTTGTGGTGCTAGAGGTCAAACCCAGGGTCTAGTGCCTGACAGTCAGGTCCTCTACAAGTGAGCTACAGCCAACGCCACCTATTTCTAAAACTCACAGGAAGACAAATGTGTGCCCTCCCCCTTTCTTTGATGTTTATGGGTGTTTTGTCTGCATGTATACCTGTGTATCACATGATGTTTGGCCTACATGTATGTGCACATATGTTCCTGGTGCCCACAGAGGGCAGAAGAGGGTGTCAGACCCCTTGATATTCAGGAATATTTTAAAATCATTAATACAGGAAACAAATATTTAAGCAACTTTATTCAACTTAAAAGATTAAGTGAAGTGGCTCAGTAGCATATAAGTCCAAGGAACAATATAAATGTCAATTAAAGGGCTGGAGAGATGGTTCTGAAAATTAAGAGTATATTGCTTTTGCAGGACTTGAATTCAGGTCCCAGCACCCACATCAGGGAGCTCAGAATTACCTGCAATTTCACCTGCAGGGGATTTCAATGCCCTTTTCTGGCCTGTGCTGATATCTACACTCACACGCGCGCACACACACATAATGAAAAGTAACTGTCTTAAATGTAAATTAAAGTACTCCTGTGGTTTTAAATGAACAGAATCTCTTAAATTGCATCAGGACAAGCATGTGGTCTTCATTATAATTTCTAAAAGTCAGTCACAAACATCCAAGGTGGTTTAGTAGACTTATTAGGGTATATTGGCAAATGATAAATCAGATGAAACATGCCAGCTTTTTCTGTTT